AGGACACATAGGTCAGCCACCAGTGGCCAGAGGAGAGTAAAAAAGGGTCTGGAAGGGCAAGAAGGTCTCTGCAGAAAGCCCCGACTGTCATCTGTCTTCCGACAATCCTTTCTCACTGTGCACTTCACCCAGGGGCTCCAAGGATCACTCAAATCCAAATGAATCTGCATGACACCCCAGAGAGGTGAGAATTAAGATCATCATTTTGCAGACTTCAGAACAAGTAGCAATCTCTCCTTTAAACAGCCCTACTGATTGCCACTTTATTTTTAATTTGATTTTATGCAGAGAGATAGGAAAACATTCTAGGAATTTTGAAAGCTCTATATAAGAAAAAAGTTCCCAAGTTTCCCCCATGTTTTAGGGGTCAAGGAAAATGATTTCACATTAAGTTTGCAAAGAGTGCAAAATGATAATCATTGGAAACTTTTCAAAAATTCCCAGTAAATCTTGCCTCCTCCTAGGAAATTCAATTTGGGCCAAAATACATCAGCCCTGGGGTAAATAACTTCTTCCTACACCTGCCAAATTAGGGGTTATCGTCTTCTCTAGGATTAAAAATTAGTTTTTTATTTTTAAATAAACTACAAGAAGTGACTCCGGGACATTAACAAAGCCAGAGACCAGTTACACCTCATGACCTTGCCCTTTGGGATTAGTCCACCAGCAGCACCTTGTCACTGCCTGCTCTTGCCTTGTGAAGTATCCACCTGTGTGCTGTGTGCTGTCCCACTAGAGTGTGGCTGTGGGAAGGCAAACATTGTCTGGATACTGCCTACCTCTCAGGATCTACAACAGTGAATACCTGCAGGGCTGGGCACACCTCCTCAAGAGCTCAGGGCAAGGCTGAATGAGTTCTCTTTATTCTTAAAAAAGAAACCACCACACTGAAACCCTGTACCAACACACAGGAACTACCTCACCGAGACGTCTGCGTCTGGCCTCTGTTCACGTCATCTCAACGTGGGATGTGAATACTTTTCTCTTATGTCAAATAAGAATTTAAGGACTGAACTCTGACCTATTTGCCTTTACCCAAATTCCTTTCTAAAATCTCACTAATCCTGCATAAGGTGCCTTACTTTCTGACCTGTTACCAGTACAGCATCATGGGACAGATAGAAGACCTCCCTTATCTTAACCCAGGTATCCTAGCAGACCCTACCATAACTCAAGCATTCCTTTCTACTAACGCCAGATCCTTAGACAAAGCTTGACTCTTCCCACCAAATGCCAGTCAAGGAATCCCTAAACCCACCTCTGATTTGGAAGCCCCAGCTTTGAGAGGTCCTGCCTTTTAGGGCTGGACCCATATGCATCTCTCATGTTTTCATTTATGGAATTCCTGTCCCCAAACTATAATCTGGCCACCTCTTTTGCATTTTTTTAAGACCTCTTGAGAACTTGTCCCTGAGGCCACAGTCATATATATTTGGTTCAGAATAAATTCTTTGAATTATTTTAGAGTTGGGATTTTTCCATGGATAAACTGAATCCGGTCTATGGCCATATCACCCTGAACGTGCCTGATCTCTTCTGATCTCGGAAGCTAAGCAGGGTCGGGCCTGGTTAGCACTTGGATGGGAGACCCCTAAGATGATTTTTTTCAGCCTCCAATGGGCCTCTGTCTTGTGAACTAAAATAAAATTTTAAGTTCCCTCTCCCAGATGACTGAATGGACTCCTTCTTGGCCCAGGGCACCCTAGAAATACCCTAAAGCTGAGTCACTGGCCCCGAGAAGGGAAGTCAGACTTGCCTCCGAATGCCTTCCCTTCTTGGAGGCATCCTCTGTAACTTATTAACAGGCCTAAGGCTATGCAAGGCACAGCTTCACCACACGTGCAACACGTGCAGGTCAGCACTCCACTCATCAGAGCACTTGAGTCTGGGTATCTGTCCAGCGGCTTGTCTCTAATAAACAGATGTCCTTATCTTCACTTAGAACATTCCAAGCCTTTAGACAAAGCTTCATTTCCTGAACCAATCACAAATCAAAGAGCCTTTACATCCACTATGCCCTGGAATCTTGCCCTCTGATGTATCCCACCTTTTTGGGCCAACCCAATGGATATAGTCCCTGTATTGATTGCTGACTTCACGTGTAATTCCTGTCTTCCTGAAATGCATAAAGCCAAACCATAGCCTAGCCACAGTGAGACCGCTTGCTCAAGGGTTCTTGGCTATCACTGCGGGCCAGGGTCACACACATTCAACCAGGATAAACCTCTAAGTGATTTTACCTAGTTTGGGTTATTTTCTGTTGGCTGTAAAGGCAGAGCTGGAGGGCCTTGGCCCGCCCATTCAGACCCCTCCCTGGTGATACCTGCACCTAATCGAGGCAGTGAGGGCAGGGAGTGGGGATGTAGGGGAGGGAAGTGCTGGTGGAATGGCCCAGAGCTGAGACGTGGAGCTGTCCTATCTCTGCTAGGCAAGCCTGGAGCAGGGAAGGTCATGAGGTGGCCTGGGGGGTCAGTGTTCTTTTGGTGAAATACTGCCAGGGGCAGGTGTGGTATTCAGAGGGCTTCTGCCTCAAGAGTGGCTTTATGGGAAGGCTGGGAGCATCTTTCCCTGCTCATCCCATCTTATTTCCAAGGAGGCTGTGGATGATCCATCCCATTCATTGCTTATTTCCTGGGTTTGGGGGGGTTGCTTAAGAAGGCAAGAACTTCCCCAATGAGGCAAATTTCCCCCCCTCCCCCCCGCTGATCCTCTATTTTACCTTTCTAAAGTGTGTTTTCTTTAAAAGGAGTAACAACTCGGAAAATGTACTTAATTGCTTCAGACCTAACCAGCTGTCTCGCTGGCAGGCAACATAAGGATCTGCCTCTTGTTCAGTGTTTTATATAATTTCTCGTCTAAGTTAAGCTACCGTTTTATTTGCTAGTTACTTCCAATAAAAGTTTATTTTGGGGGCTGGTTATTAATATACTGAAGTGTATTCTAAAAAAACAGCCTGAGAAAGTAGGAGAATAGAAATTCCTCCAAACGGCCCCATTTGCTGCCTAATTTTCCACGTTGCTTTGCACAGTTGAGGTCAGGCTGCATATTCTAGGGGATGCAAAGACCCGATGTCACATGAGCACCTAAGTCCAGCTTCAGAACCCTGCGCTCTACCCTGGGGCTGTAGAGATGTTTGTCGGTCAGTAATTAACTTTTAGAAAAAGCCAATTTCAATCCACTTGCAAAGAAAAGGGTTCTGGGCACTGACATGAGTAGTCATTTCATTTTACTTTAAAGGCATTGCAAAAATATAACAACCACAATAATTAAAAGTAATACATTGCTTCAAGAAGGACTCTCATGTTTCCTTGGAAATGACCTCTCATGTCTTTATGGTAGTTTTGCCTTTTGTAAGGTATATCTTATAAATCTTGACTATCTTAGCCTTTTGAAGTTGGTAGGTGAGGCACTGGGGGCTCACACTTTAGAACTGATAAGCTTGTATACTAGGACAGAGGTCTGCACACTTTCTCCCTAAAGGGCAGATAGTAAGGATTTCAGGTTTTATGATGCAAGAGGCAAAACAGAGCCTATGAAGTAGCTGGACAGAGCCATGTATAGATGTTTAAAAATGTTAAAATTATTCTCAGTTCTCATGGTGTACAAAGCCAGGGAGCATATTGGACGCAGCGCCTGGCCTCCGGCTTGTTGACCTCGGTTTTAGGACATGAAAAGTCAAAAGGAATCATTCTCTGACCTCAAAGTGTTTACAGATCCTTTCAGCGGACGATACCTTCGGGGGGACATCTGTTGTCTTTGTCTGGCTGCCGTCTGTTTGCCTCTTTCAGGGATAGCTAGGCTTTGCCATGATGCACCACAAGCTCCGACTCAGCCTCCTCTGCACCTGCCCCGGGCGGCCCCCCAGGCCTGGCCAATCCAAGTGGTCTCATGTATATACTTAGCATGGGCCAACCTGGCGGCAAAGAAGCCTGCTTATTCCAGAACCAAGCAGAAATGGATTTCAGAAATCCCATGCCAAACCATGTATCTGGGGAAGAATTCTAGCAAAGACAGTTGTAGCTGTGTGTTGAAATAGTCCTCAGGTGCCACTGAAAGTCTGTCCTCTCAGTATCTTCTGGCAGGGCCCCTTCACATTCACGCACAAGCACAGGAGGGCCCTGGGGAGCATTTCTGGGGCCTGGAGACTGTCAGGAAGGGGGGAAGGGGCCAAGGGGCAGATGTCTAGTTCCAGCTTCTCACTGTCCCCTACTTCCTCACTTCCAGCTCTATAGGGGCGGGTGTGTCAGGCACTCCATATTTGCCCTAACAGTTAACTTTCAAAACAGTTATCTACAGTTCACCTTGTCCCACGGTGAGGCAGAGATGGTGGCAATTCTCCCAGCTCTCCCTCTGCCCCCACGTGTGCCAACCTGCTTGCAATTTGATTGGCTCATGGGGTTCTTTCTCCCCAGGAGTTTGTGCATGGAAGTGTCACATGTCACTTCTAGGCCATGCTTAGAACGGCTTGTGTGTGATCCTCCAACTATCTCTTCTTCAGCATGGTGACAGAGAAGGCCACGTGTTACTGATGTAACAGCTATAAAATGATCAGTCTGGCTCCCCGAGAGACTGCACGGGGCAGAGCCCCATGCCATTTAAGCCATATGATAGAATCAAAAATAATTTTGTCACTCTAGGCACCTGAGATTTGGGGGTTGTTTGTGGCCACAGCATGGCTGAGCCCATAATGACGAGTACACCCAGTGGTCTAAAGATTCCTTATAAAAAAGGAACAGAAAAAAATAAACGGAATAGACTTCATAAAGAAAAGCAGATAAGTAACAGTACATTTCGTACGGAGATAAGGTCAATATCACGAGGGTGTTGGGAGTAACTGAAGTTGAGAAAGGCCAGGCTAAGGAAGGGTGGCCACTGCTGGGGAAGATGGGAAACTCTGAAAGTAACTCCCCCTAAAACAACGGCTGCCATAGAGACAGTGAGGGCACGGGATGCGATGAGACTGCTGAATACAGGCGCATCTGTGACAGCTCAAGTCTTACCATAGCTAAGGGGACAATGCCCACCAGGTCCTTCTGGCTGATGAAGATCTCGGACACGGCGATGTCTGTGGTCCCTTTCCGCGGGTATTCCACCTGCCACGTGATGGGCTGAGTCCCCGAGAGGCTGCTGAAGCTGGCGATCTCAAAGTTCATCTGCGCAACCTCATTGAATAAGCTGCTGCTTCTGGAAGAGAGGGAAAAAACGGGCTTACCCTGGCTTTGTTCCAGTGACTCTCCTCTCACTTCCAATTCTGCCCAGGATAGAAGGACAAAGAAAATGGCTTTCAGGGAGGGATGGCTCTACAGTTTTTTGAGGCACCTGGCATAGTGAACCCCCTTTAAGTTAGGGACCAGGAGGCTGGGACAGAGACGTGCTCATAGGTTAGGGATCTGGATAGAACCTGAAACATGGAGCATTATTCCATGTATGTATGTGTGGGGCTCTTAGGTTGGTTTTCAGCATCTACCCAGATGACTTTGGACCTGAAGGGACCACCTTTACTTTGTAGGCCACATCCTCAGCCTCTCTTGCTGCCAGAAAGGCAGGACTGAAGCAGAGTTTCCACCAGTTGGGCTCACTCATCTGGGAGGTAGAAGGGGGCTATGCATCAGCAGTGGGGAAGGGACGTGAGATTTTCAGGTGAGCACAGAGGTCTGGTTCTTCTGGGGCAGCTGTAGGGTGCTCCTGACATCTGGATCCCCAAACCATCGTGCCATGTGGCTGGCAGTGGTTTTTCCACTACAATAGTCCTCTGCAGAGGCCGGATATTTTTCTGCTCTTTGTTATCCTTGGCTGTCCTGTCTCCAGATATGTAGGAAATAAATTCAATTCTGTGGTTCTTTAGGGATTCTCTGAATTGCTGCATATCCTTTAATGAAAACCCTCCTGCTTAGAGGAGCTGCTTAGCTAGAGGGAGTCTGCTGTTGCACCTAAGAATTCTGACTGGTGTCCAGATATTTGTATTTAGAGATATTGACAGTCCAATGAAATAAACTTTTTCATTGTTCAGATGATAAACTCAAGGCCCAGAAAGAAGGAATGGCTTGCTCCCAGCCATGCAGGCAGCAGGTGCATACTACACGCCATGGAGTATAGTATCTCCTGTCCCCAGTCCAATGCTCCTAATAGAGACCTCGCCTAAGACAGCTGGTGGCCAAATTGGACATCACAGGCACCAAGAGAGCTTCCTTAGGACAGGGGGCAGCAAACTGTCCCGTGAATGAAATCCAGCTAGTTGCCCATTTTTGCAAATAACATGTTATTGGAGCACAGCCCTGCTCGTTTGTTTATGTTTTTCTGTGGCTGCATTTGTGTTATAAGCGCCTAGTGGAGTAACAGCATCTGGCAATGTGTTAGCAAAACCTAAAATCTTACTGTCCAGACCTTCAACCTTCATGGGAAAAGTTCACCAGCATCTGTAGAGGAGGTTAGAGTGTGGGAGACTGGCATGGCTTTCTAGAGCTCTTGAATAAATAGAGCCAGCTTTGGTGGAGGCGAGAGGAAAGTGCATTCTGGGCACAAAGATGGGCCTTGGCAGCCTGACTGAGGTGGCTTCAGTGCCCATCCTTGTCCCTATGCTAAGGATGGCTGCAAGTGAAGGGTCTCCCGTCAGCTGCTTCTCAGGCTGGCATCCCCGAGAAGGCTGTGTTTTTAGGTGAAGAGGCGGGGATTTTCCATAGAACATTTAGAAGGGAACACCAAATATGCTGAAAGCCTGCATCCCAAGTGTGTGGTGGTGTGAATGCAAAGATGGCTCACCTTCTCCAGCCATCCCCCTCAGCCTGGGCAGGAGGGAAGGGGAGAGTTGCTGCACTAGCCCGAGCACCAAGACTTGGGATTCCCTTTATTCTCCGGGCTGACAGTGGAACCAGGAAGTCAGGATTTATGAGATGCTAGAGATTCCTCGGGGAGGGAAAATGAATCCAGCATCATGGCTGGGAATGGTGGCTTACTCCTATAATCCTAGCACTCTGGGAGGCTGAGGTGGGAGGATCACTTGAGCTCAAGAGTATGAGACTAGCCTGAGAAAGAGTGAGACTCCGTCTCTAGTAAAAATAGAAAAAAATTAGCCCAGTGCTGTGGTGAGCACCCATAGTCCCAGCTACTCAGGAGTCTGGCACAGGATGATCCTTGAGTCCAGGAGTTTGAGGTTGCTGTGAGCTATGATGCTACAGCACTCTACCCAGGGTCATATGGTGAGACTCTGCCTCCTAAAAAGAAAAAAAAAATAAATCCAAGGTCTGGACCATCAAGCTATGGGCTACAGGTCTTGTGAGACTGAATCACTGAACTTGAGAAATGAGGGGGGAGGCATCTGGGGTCTACAGTGTTTCCAAACTGGGAGATGTATTCTTGGTCTAGCAGCCAAAGATCACAGGCATCTGAACCCACAAAAACTCAACTCAACCTCTGTGAAATCCTTTTAGAGTACTTTGGCCCTGCCTCTTCCTTCTCACTGGGCCACAGACACTCCTTCATTTCAGGCGTTTGATCTTTCCAAGAGCATCTGGACCGACATCTCCTTATCTGAGGCCAAGCTGGTCCCAGTGTTGGAGCTGCCCAGTCTTTCCTGGCTACAGACAGACTCTACCCAACACACAGTCACTTTCCTCAGTACTGGATGTGGCAAACATCCAGCTGCCCAAAGACTCCCCGCCAACCCCAGAGAGAAGTGTATGCCGACACAGCGCGATGGAGGCTGCAGTGGCTCTCAGCCTGTGTCTGTCTGCATTCTGTCATAAAATTCTTTGGTGAACCTCATGACCGTTCACATCACGTCTGAGACTCAGCTGCATCACTCAGAAGACTGAAATAACGGCAGAGCCACTGTGCAGGGAGGAGTGCAGGAGAAGCCAGCACAAGCGCTCTTGCCCCAGCCGTGCCTCCCCACCCCCCATGGCAATTGTGCTAAAGAAAGGCACGCATGAAGACGGGCACTGGACGAGGGAAAAGAGAAGCACTATGTTTCTTTTTTGGCTTGAACATTATTGTGTGATTTTTGTGAGCAATGGGGTTACCTTCCTAGGCATTTAGTCCAAGTTAACATACAAATAAGCACAGCATGCTGTTGTTTACAAATTAGTCACTATGTGCCAGACACTGGACCCGGTTTCACACAAACAAGATTCCCCAATCCCAGTAAAACCCCTCCAGGTTATTAAGGCTCCCATTGTCATAGTGCCAGAGCAGACACTCTTGTAGCCAGGAGGTGTGTTTGTATCAGTCTGCTCTTCAACCACGGGTAGAAGGGACCAACCCCGCAGGAGCCCACTTGTAACATTCGGCGGCTGCCCATTCAGACTCTCACCACTGCTGAACTGACTGAATGTAATCTCAGCTTCAGCACAGAGAAAAAAGAAAAATACACATTTCACGATTGGAGGAAAACTCCAGCTTTCTGGGAGTTGTGTGTAATTTGGGGGCAGACTGACATCAGGGTAAACTCCCAGGGGGTACCTGGGAGCACATGTCTAGTTTTTCAGGAAGCTAGAGATCTCAGATGAGGAAGGGGCTGTCCTGTGTCCACAGGTACCTGAGGGATGTGTGTGAGAGTAAAGGCCGGGCAAGGCTGACCCGGTAGAGAAGTGAGCCTCTGGCCAGCCTCAGGATGAAACGTTCTGACTCAGGGACAAGGAATTCCTTTGAGAAGCTGTAGAACTGAGTCCCTTATTTATTTATTGTTACTCATTCACGTCCTTTTCTGCTCCTCCTCTACACAGCCTTTATTTTCTTCATCTCTAAAAAAATGCATAGGTTATATATCAAAATTTAAGAAAATGAAACTATATATATGTATGTATATATATACTTTTTTTTTTGAGATACAGTTTCACTCTATTGCCCAGACTATTTGTGGAGATAGGGTCTTGCTATGCTGTCCAGGCTGGTACAGAACTCATGGCCTTAAATGATTCTACATCTTCGACCTCCCTGAGCACTAGGATTATAGGAGTGAACCACCATGACAGGCCTGAAACTATATTTTGAACTTGATCCTTTTGTGGAGATGAGCAAAGAGGACTATTTGGTACCTGTGTTTACTCCTCTGTCCCTCTTAAGGGGACATCCCTCTCTTTCTTGCTGATAGGTGCCTTCCAGGAAGGGAGGCCAGTGGTTCTGGAGGGCAAAAGATTTTCCCAGGGAAGTTGAGAATCTAGGTTTTCTCTCTAAAATGTTTGAACTTTTAAATATAAAAACCTTAACTTTGTAGCCACTCACTTTGCTGTCCCTGGCTTAGGAAAATGGCCCTCTCTAGTCTCTGGAGGAAGGATTTTAGAGAATTGCCGTGACCATAAGCGGAAAATGCCTGTCCTAAGATGATGCAGTGTGGCCTCTTCCCACTGTCATGCCCTCCTTGTGTTCAAGGAGGGGGCGGTGAGGCAGCAACTGCTGCAGGCTGGGAGCTGGTCCCTGCCCTCGCCCCAGCCCTCCAGTGCACTCCTGTTGCAACAAGAGCACCTCAATGCTGACATTTGATCAATATTAGGCCTCCAAGAAGCATTGACTTCCAAGAATGAAAAACGAGAGAAAAAATGAAGGAAGAAATAAAATGATGGAAGAAGGAGGGAAGGAAGAATGGAAGTGAAACAGGGAAGCAGGGAGGAAGGAACTAAGGGATTAGAAGCAAGAGGAAAAGCCACGGCTCCTTCAGGGGACTGCAGCGAGTGTCAGGGTTCACGCGGCAGGCTTTCAAACACATTCAAATCCCAGCTTCGCAGATACTGACTGGCTTGACGACCACAAACAACTTTGCTTCATTCGTGAAATGAGGATGCTAATCCCTCCTATTTCATAGAGCTGCTGTGAATGAATAAGTCAAACTACTCAGAGTAGAGACTGTCACCAGTGAGCACCACTAGAAGTTGCTTATTTCTATTTTTAGGCATCATATTCCTGTTCAGAGACCATGGGGTTGACTGCCTGAAGCCACCATTAAGGAACGTCCTTTTAATGGTTTAGGAGCTCCCTGAGAACAAGACACGGCAGAGGTGCAAACCCTCTGCTATTTGCTGTGAGCTGGTATCCATGACGGTGTGTGTACAGTGCATTCGCTCAGCACCTGCCTCTATCAGACACAGGCCATGATCACATTATTCTGTCAGATGGGGACCAAGAAAAGAAATCTGTCTGCAGTTCTGTCAGTGCCTTCCCACTGTCTCTGAGCAGACCAAAATATTTGCTGA